AGCAATGCGACATCAACATCACACTAAAAAAAGTTGAGTTAATGCAACTTAATGCGAGTTAGAACGCAAACATTTACGAAAACAAAGTGTTAGTTAGCATCTAGAAATATTTACGCCGACGGCATTCACTCTTCTGTCGTGCTCCGTTTCCCTAGCCCTAGCCCATCTCTCCCCCTTGACCGCGTGTACACTTCCACTTCCCCGAAAACAGCCTAAGTGACCGCATATCCTCTTCATCTGGCAATTTATTACTCCTCAGCTACAAATCATATAGTTGATAGATTGGTCGAGGTTTTTCAACTTCTTCAATTGTCATTAAATACTTCCGAAAGAGAACCAATCTCCCTCCGATAAAGACTGCACTCTTATCTGCATATCACCACTAGATTCACACCCATTCAACATTCCCAACAGCCAGCAGAATCAAAAAAGGTTCTGGTCAATATGCACCGCACCAAATGGATCATTTATTTCAACCGACCGGAAAACAGACAAAAAAAGACCACATTTTGAACACTGCCCTAGTCTCAATCTGCCCATGAGAAGCACATCCATCCATTATGAGATTGATCAAAAACAAGATCAATAAATCAAAAGCTAAGTTTTTCAATCAACATAAGCCTAAGCTTATCAGACAAGATTATTTATGACGGTATGCGCAACATTACAGTAACTGCGAGAAATCTCGTGAGCGAAACGCAATCACAGCACAAACCATTACATAACATACAACAAATATATCGTTTGTTAAGCACATTAATAATAATAGTAACAACAATAGTAAATAACTAACTTCGTGAGAGCATTATTCATAATCAGCGAGGAATTGCTACCATCAAGATCACCCGATTTATCGACGGTTTGATAATGATCAATCGTTGATGACTGAGAAGGCAGAGGAAAATTACTGCTGATGTTAATACCAGCTTTATCAGTTGGTGTTATCGATGATGACGGGGAAGATTCTTTTGGATAAGATTGACTATAGTTACTACTGCGATTCTTACGACCCGTACTGGTTGTGATTCCTAACCGTTTCGAACATGCTGAAAACATTTATCCGTCTCAAATTATTCTGTAGATTATTTATCCGCAAAATCACGGAATTCTGATAAATTCGGACGAAACCAGAAAAACTCTAAATTATACGGATAAAAAGATTGGATAAATCTGAAGAGAATATTCGAATAAATGTACAAAATCAGGATGAGGTTTGGTAGAAAGACTAATCAGTCATTCGAGCAACTAACATGTTTGATCAAATGCCACCGGTATTATCTCACTACTCGTTGCAGCCATTAGATCCGAAGAACAACAATTCATTACATCACAGCATTCATCTTCCACCACTTCACCTGTCTCTGCGCTGATTTGTACAGGCTGAAGTCCGTTCTTTGTTTATTCAGTAGATTGGTGTATAGCACATTGGCATATTCAATTTTACTCGCATAAATAACTTCGTTCAGAAAACTCTTATTTTGTACTTAAAAAGATTGCTTTTTCAAGAGATTCACCTACTATTTCATATCATCCTCAACGACCTATCACATTTTCATAAACATATCATTTTCATAACTAACTCACTTCCTCTGGCAATGCAGGTCTTTTCCTCGGCAAAGCTGCTTTCCGTTTACCCGCACTTGAATATACACATTTACGAGGAATTATATT